TGATAATTAATGGTGACACTGTCTGATTAGATTGTATTTTTGATTTTTTACACACTATACGTCTTTTTAATTCTATATAAATCTTTTACCGACATGTATTGGTTTTAACTCGCTGTATTTTTACATTTTACTTTAATTTATTTTCATTGTTTTTACCAGTTGTTTGGCGCAGATAGCCTCGCTGCTTTGCGCCATAAAGCACCAAACAACCAATCCTTCGTCTCTTCTGGCGCATAATGCTTGTGAACAATTTTTGGAGAGAATTGTCACTGGCGATGAAAAATGGATTATATGTGCGAATATTATATGTCAAAAACAATGGCTCAGTCCTAGAAAAAAAAAACCACTTTCGATCCCCCAAACTGGACTCCATCCGTGGAAAGTGATGCTTTGCATTTAATGGAACATCAAAGGAGTAATTCATTTCAAACTCCTCAATCCACAACGAACTGTCAATGCAGAGATATATAGTCAGCAACTGGAACGTTTAAATCAAGCCGTTCATCAGAAATGCCCTTCACTCATCAATCGGAAAGATGTTATTCTTCTCCACGACAATGCATGTCCACATGTGGTACGTTTGAAGCAACACAACATTATGGAGTTCGGTTGGGAAGTTCTCCCCCTACCACCATATTCTCCAGAAATGGCATCATCAGAATGCCATTTTTTCGTTCATTGCAACACTATCTTAAAATAAAAAAACGTGTGTAAACGTGGAAGGTGTTAAAGAGGACATCGACATGTTTTTTGCTTCAAAGCCAAGTGATTTATTTAATCAGGGCATTAACAACCTGATTGTAAGATGGAAAGGCATCATCGATAAGAATGATGACTATTTCATTTAATAAATGTTTTGATACACAAGTTGTTCGGGTTTTTTCATCTAAAAAAAGGGACATTAATTTATTGACGACCTAATACACATTTATCACTTAATCGTCTGCTTATCTTTTTGAAATCTCTATATCCTCGACACTAATAAATTTCACGCGACGTTCGATAGCCTCCTCATCAATGAATTATAAACACAACGTGTGATTCTTACCGAGTTACGTAACTAAACTTGTCATAACTTTTACTTTAAATAATTGATTTTAATTTTCTTGTTATAAAAAAAACGAAAACTAAAGGATCACGAAATATTTACCCACAAAATAAATAAATTAATAATACCTACACTAAACAGTCTGCTATATCATGACAGTATTATACTGATATGTACGGGTCTGTTATTTTAAAACATCAACAGAATGTGTTTTATCAATATGTAACTGTTGTTTATTCTGAAAGACAAGGAACGAGAGCGAGTGCCATCTACCTGTCTTTTATTGAAGTTTTTTTTTCAGGATCTTATACTTTAAGATTATTTATTTAAAGTTGAGATTATCGTTTGGTGATCTTCAGGCTGAAAGATCGTGTAATATCTCTGATATTATAAAAAACAACTGAATGGTTAAAAATTTTCGACTTTGTATTTTTGGGAAAGTATAATTCCTGACTTTCATCTTCTATAATTGTGTTTTTCTTCAAGCTAAAGTAATAACTGGTTCCTGAGTAATTTGTTTGTTAGCATTAATGTTCCTAATTTCTATGGAATCTTTATACTGGGGAACGTCAGTTTCTGCTCGAATTACTTATTTATTGTTAACAATGTTACTTCTGTGTATGAAATGGTGAAAATACACACAATAACTTTATAATTCATGAACCAGATTTGTTATTTCTGATAACCTTTTCCCAAAGGTTATGATCATTGTAGAAATACAAGTTGATGATAAAAAAAAATAATTTGAAGTTCAATGTACCATGTTCAGACGTTTCTGAATACAAATTACGATTTTCAGCGCGCCTCTGGTGGAGTGTAGTTTCCCTTGGGCTAATAGTTGTTGTGATATTGCAGAGAGGAAAAAGATAAGCTAAATACGTAATTATGATGGACAACTTGATCGAATTCTACTTGTTAACTATGATTTTCTAATCAAGCCAAGCGTTTTCCGATATTATACAGAAACTGAGAAGCACACCCTTGTGACAAAACCAATTCTTTATTATTATTTTTTTCCATATTCGATATGATTCCTTTCGATACCCTTACTATGACACTATTTTGTCACGTGATACATAACGTCACATGGTTCACCACAATTAAACAGTGTTATGAAAACACGCGTCTTCTACAACATTATTTAATGATATGTATCCTGGACAACAAAATAATAATTGCGGTTGAAGCTTAACAATATTACAGCGCACTCTATGTAAAACTTAGAAACCAACATAAACTTCCGTTTTCGTTTTACGTCATTTCCCTCATCAATGAGCGGAAAATTAAAAACAAAAAAGGGTTCTAAACTGAACCCATTCCTTACTAGATATTAGCGTAAAGCTACGTAAGGGCTATCTACACTAGTTACCCCTTATTTCGAACTGTTAAGACTAGAGTTCCACACAACACTTTCACAGTTCGGTACATTATTAACTAGGTCACTTAAAGACAGAAAATAATATAGCTAATGCAGTTAGTGTTACCTTAACAGCGTGTTTCCACTCTTCCCAAGCTCAGGATTATCAAGGAACAGAAGGTAGAGTAATATTATCCCGTATTATCAAGGAACAGAAGGAGGAGCAAGATTATCCCAGTTTATCAAGGAACAGAAGGTGGAGCAAGATTATCCCGGATTATCAAGGAACAGAAGGTGAT